CAACACTAAGAGTCAAAGATATTTCTACAATTATTTTACTGTCTTTCAACAAGGGCAATGGACAAAATGCCCTATATTATCCCTGTACATTAGATAACTTTGAATATTAGCATATGTGGATTTTGAATGAACCAAAACAACAAATTTACTTTTGTTCACTCACACACACACACACACACACACACACACACAAAATTCTAGCAGGTCTGCTTTCCCCCTCCCCCACCCAAGACAATCCATTATTTGTCTATTATGAATAAAACTTAAATTCTTTTGAACTTAGACAGCCAGTTGATTGAAAGTGTGTCTTGGCATGGAGGTGGATATAATATTACCAAGATTCTACAGGGAAAAGTTGGAGATTTATGTGAAAATATCCCAGGGGAACTTGCATAAATTGTCCATGGAATAATTATAAGAACTGAGTGAAATATTGGGGGAAAATGAATTTCTATTGTTAAGGTGTAAGGCACCACTAGACAAGAAAGAGAGATGGATCTCCCTTAATTTTAATAAAATATTCAAGATGAATGTGGAGTCATGATAGGTGTGATGAGATGACTCCATCACTACAACAGTGCATTTGATGAGGATTTGATTATGAGCAATTTTAATATCGGCTCAATGAACAGATAGCAGATAGCCACTGTGGCTAGCAAGGCCTCTGTACAACTTTATCTGCTGCACCAATTGGGAGATCCTTTAAACAGTCATGTATATCCTGATCACTTCATGACTTGACTACTATTACACTTCCTTGAAGACCACCCAGAAGAATCAAACTGATCCAGAACACAGCTGTGTTCATGAGCCATACTGATTGCCAGTTTGTTTCTGGGTGTGATTCTGCTTATTACCTATATGTCACAGACCTAATTATTGAAGGACACCTTCCCTATAATCTCTTCCCAGATGATTTGATCTGACAGGATTAATACTCTCTGGGTCCTTGAACAATACCTTTTGGAACCATGATTTCTTTTCATTCTCTCTTTATCTTTTTTATCTCTTCTTAGGAATAACTTCATAATATCACTCTTTTAATGTCCAAAATAAGAAAGCTGTCCAAATCACTCTTCTAGTTGAAATCTATACATTCAAGTCACTTTTCTGATGTACCATTTGTGTGTCCATTTTAGAAATTAAAAAATCAGCTGGTTTCACTTGTAAGTCCTGTATAATTTGTTTCAGTATCATTCTTGTATTCTATCAATTTTAAATCAATATCTAAAACAGCTTGATTCTTATAGAGGTAGTCCTCGACTTATGACTATTTGTTAACAACAGTTCAAAGTTACTGTGGTGTTAAAAAAAAGTGAGTTACAATGAGTCCTTACACGTACAACCATCACAGTGTTCCTGTGATCATGTGTTTAAAATTCAGGTGCTTGGCAAGTGGCATATATTTATGAGGGTTGCAACATCCTGAATTCATGTGGTCATTGTTTGCTATCACATTGCGCCTCCGACATGCAAAATCAATGGGGGAAGTGGATTTATTTAAGATTTGTAGCCAAGATGTTATAAATTAGGCACAGCTCATTTAATAACCACTTTGCTTAGTGATAGTAGTTCTGGTCCTAATTGTGATCATAAGCTGAAGATTAGTTGTAGTAACTGATGCTCTTAAGAGAAAGTTCTGGGAACATTGCTGTCACGTTTCCTTGAATTGAGTTAAAATACTTTTCTCATTTTTCAACTCTTCATCTCCTCTCTAAAACTCCTTTGCAATTTGAGTACTTTCCTTCAATTTTAATACCATAGCCTATCACTTTCTCTAAAATCATAATAAAAATTAAATGTGTGTACTTTAAATAAATAAATAAATAAATAAATAAACCGTGTGATTTGTTTTCACACTTGTGTAAATAGGATATAAATTCCCATGTAATAATTTAAAACATAATTTGTAATGAAATAGTAATGGTTTAAGGAATCTTATCAGCAGTCTTCAACCATTAAGCTTACTTTATTTCCATCTGCTTTTTTCCCCCAAGAAAAGCTTGAGGCTACCTCATTTTCTTTTGGGCAGAGATTCTTGTCTCCAGTGGGGAGAGGAAGAACAGTGGAAGGGAAGTTGCCTAGCAAAAGTTTTAGCTTGGAATGCTAAGTAAAGACAAAACACGTTGATCTCCTGCTGTCAGTATATATAAGCAAACTCTTTTTTTAAAGAAAGCTGATCCCTATACTAATTTCTGTTGATTAACCTGGTTTGACCATGTGGATCTCCATAGAGCACCTTCTATGAACTTAATAACTTGAACTTTCCCATGAGATTTCCTTGTTTTATTTTTATAAAGGAATTGAAAAGTTGCTAGGATTGTTCTTTCTACCACCACCTGGTTGACCTATAACCCATGACAGCACTTTTGCACACAATATGAGGAAAAATACTAATTTTAAAAATGGATTTTAATGACACCTACAACAAAATAGTCAAACAGAGCTTCCTGGGGCCTTGTGCTAAAATATGCATTTTTTAATATTTTTATAGAGCCAAGGTGGCGCAGTGGTTAAATGCAGCACTGCAGGCTACTGCTAGATCAGCAGTTCAGCGGTTCAAATCTCACCGGCTCAGGGTTGACTCAGCCTTCCATCCTTCCGAGGTGGGTAAAATGAAGACCCAGATTGTTGGGGGCAATATGCTGACTCTCTGTAAACCGCTTAGAGAGGGCTGAAAGCCCTATGAAGCGGTATATAAGTCTACTGCTATTATAACATAAAAATGAAGTAAAAATCATTAACTTAAAGCAAAGACAAATAGAAGAGAAAGGGAGGGGGAAAGGGAACTTAAACTAATTAGCACTGTGTGCAAGCTGCTGAAAAAGAAAGATGGGTGCCCTTGTGCTTAAAGTATAAATAAATCTGCTACAATAATGGGTTAAAGAGTTCTGGAAGGCACAGTATTCTCTAGGTTATCTCAATCAGTCACTTTTCTGGCATCTGAACATTCAATAGCTAGTACTTCTTATCTACTGTTACCTGTGGGCTCATGTCCCTGTGGTTATGGCACTAGTTGTTTCACTAACCATTTTTAAGCAAAGTGTCCTCATGATATTTCCTCATTCTTATTTCCATATAAGAAGTAAGAAAATAAAACTGAAACAAAAAGGAATTCTGTTGTGGATACATCTTTCAATCTTTCAAAATCCTTTAGGCAGTTTGGTCTAGTGGTTAAGTCATCAGGCTAATAAGTGGGAGACCCTAGGTTCAAGTCCCACCTTAGCCACGAAAGCCTGTTGGATGATTTTAGGCCAGTTGCTGTCTCTCAACCCGACTCACCTATCAGGGTTGTTGTTGTGGAGAAAATAGGAGGAGGAAGATGTGGTGGATATGTTCACTGCCTTGAGTTATTTGTAAAAACAATAAAGGCACACTATAACTAAATCAAAAATGCCTTTTAATCTCTAAGGAATTTGACAATAACAGGTAAAGCTTAACAAGTGTGGCCAGAACCAAAAAGTCTTTGCTAATACCATTTTTGCTCTTTATCTAATACTTTCCCTATCTTTCCTTCCCGTCTCTTGAACAGCCCTCACAGCAGATTGAGACAGATAATTCTTGTAAAAGTTCTCTTGTGGTTGTAGGTCCAATGGCTGCAGAGTGGTATGATAAAGCATTAGAGCTAATTAAAAGTTCCCTTTCTAATCTGCTTACAGTATGTCCAATGTATACATAGATAAAAGTGGAGTAGCTACTACTTTAAGGTATCTAACTATTGCTACATTAAAGCAGTAGCTTCTCCACTTTTATTTATGTTATTACTAACTGCCTTAACATATCATCTCCCACTGAAACCGAAAAACTGATGGATAAAGTCTAATAGCCATTAATAATTAATAACAACCAATGATCCAATGATATCCTTTATTTTAGAGTCAGGATTAGTGTGTCTTATAGACAATAACCATTTTATGCACTTACGGGTTTTCTCATAAACATATTACTATTTCCATCCTTAGATTAACTTACAGGAAGCTGGCAGCATAGGAATCTGAGAGATTAGTGACGCCTCCTTCAGAAGCAGCTCCGATGCCCTCTAACCAAATCCTTTTTCCAGGCATGTATGCATTGACTACCTGTTGCCAAAAAAAGAAGGGGAAAGCAAAAGTGGTGGTAAGAACATGAGAATAGCCCTGCTGTTCAACAACTGGCTATAGCTGGTAACTTTAAAACATGTATTATCACAGGCTAGCATAAATAATACTGATTTTTCAGTGTCTAGTAGGGCTGAAATAATGAGGAAAACAAAAGTAAGAAGTGGATGGAAATATATTAATCTGAACAAAACTTTCTTTTATTTTCTTCTATTTTTTATGGGCATTGATCTTGCTTTCCTGGAACATATCACTCTTTGCTGACTTCCTATTTGTTTACCTCAGTGTGGGCTCTCTTAGTTTTGTTGTAGGTGCACTGTCCTTCAGTGATTCCGTTCAGTTTGTTTGTGGTGTCTCACATGAAGTAGCAGACAGCAGGCTAATCAATAAAATACTTCACTCTTATAAAATGAAATTGCCCGTGCCTTCATCAAAGCCTCATTTCTTTACGAAAACAGAAATTACTCACACAATGTAAGATATTTCCATTATCCAGATCAGACTCTTATATAAGGAATTTTTTTTATTTATACTGTAATTTTGCTTCCCAAGACATATATCACAGTAGGCTGCTAAACCATATGGCAACACCATTACCTTTTCTTATTCCCACTTACAGTAGAACTTTGTATAAGATCTCATTCTCAGTTTTTAAAATGAGTACAAATTGACCTAATTCTTAGGTTAGTATTTTTACATTTTCCACAATGGTATTTCCCCCCACATATATACACTTTGCAGTTTGACTATTGCTTGGCACTGCCTTGTTTTGAATAGTTTTATATACAAGTAGTCCTCAACTTACAATCACAATTGAGCCCAAAATTTCTGTTGTTAAGCAAGACATTTATTAAGTGAATTTTGCCCCATTTTATGACCTTTCTTGACACAGTTGTTAAGTGAGTCACTGCAGTTGTTAAGCTAGTGACAGTTGTTAAGTGAATCTGGCTTCCCCATTGACTATGCTTGTCAGAAGGTCACAAAAGTTGATCACATGACCTCAGGACATTGCAATAAATATGAGTCATCTGAATTTTGATCACATAACCATCGAGATGTTGCAATGGTGATAAGCCATGTCACATTTTCAGTGGCACTGTAACTTTGAATGGTCACTAAACAGAAGTCAAGGACTATTTGTAATTTAAAATGTACATTTATAAATATATATGTTCTTTTAGTAAACACTTATTTTCATATATGGTACAGTTTATGTACCATAAAACTGGGAGCAAAACCAGGTCCTTACTGTGTATATATGTATATAGCCTAGTGAGAAACAACATGCTTATTAGATTAACATATAGACTGGATGTCTGATTGTTCAGGATATGTTCAGACATTTAATCTACATTAACATATAAACCTAGTTTCTTTAAATCCGAGCAGGATTTCGGCCTCTAAGCTAGTTCTCAATAAAAAGCAGACATTAGTAGCAGCTACAAAGCTATTTCTTACTTTAACTACATTGGTGCCTTTAATGGGAGTAATCAATGTCTTGGAACATAGTGTATGTTACCAAGCCCAGAACCTTGTCAGAAACTCATACTGGCCTTAACTCTTTCCTATGAAACTGCAATGGTGAAAGAGAAGTATGTACATGGCACTAGAGACCCCATTGTGAGAAAGCTGCTGTAACATAAGATAAACCTTGTCAGCACAGACATGTCAAGGACGTGATGGTGCCAAAAAACAAACACATATAAGTGAACACAAGGTCTGATGAAGTCAGTTTACAACTCTTGCTACCTCTGGATAGAAATCTGACAAGTGCCTGAAGGTCTGGTCATTTACTAGACTTACTTGAAGGAACCATCTCAAATTATAAAACAAAGAAGAGGTAATAAATTTAATTAGGGCATCTGTAAACTGATATCTTTGGGTTCTCTACTGAAGTAAATCTTCCCCTGTTAGAATCTATCTAGCAGTGCAGCTAAAAATTCTTTTTCTATTAAGAGAAAAATGATCCATAATAAAGCTGTTTTTATAGCTTTCTTGATAAGTCAAAACATTTTGTAAAAATGGACCAAACATTCTAGTCGAGTACCTTACAGGAAATAGAGCTAGGCATAGTGAGTTCATAGAAGTGGCCTCTTTTCCCTTGATATACATTAGCCCAAGGAAAGATTCATCACCTTTGTTCTCCAAAACTAGCATGTCCTCCCCCACTTCCTGTCCTGCATAATGACTTTTGTATTATTCTTAAAAGAGTTCTGAAATTCAACTATTTCAGTCAATAACAGCTTTCCCAATATCTTTATTAGGACAGGGTTTAGGACATTTCAGCGGTCCACAGAATTTCTCTCAAATATTCTTATACTTATTTTGTCTATCTTATTTGTCAAATTTGCTGGAAGTTCAGTGGACTTGAGTTTGCTGGAAGTTACAGGGTCTTAAAGTAGCAAAGTAGAAACCTTTGCTAAGCCCGTCTGGTACTGAGCACTTGTCAAATTCAGACTCAGCACCCTGAAGTACTTGAAGCTCCCCACCTTTGCAACACTCACTCACTTTCTGGATTTTCCTGATCTGGTCAGAGAGTGTGTCTAACAGGCGTGTTTTCAGGAAGTCCGTCACCTTGGCCACTCGGCCATCAAGGTAGTAACTGAAATGAAAATGAGAAGGCAACAGTCAGAGGGGCTGCAACTATGTGCTCTCCCTCACCTTGACCAAGGACCGCTGCTGTCCACATTTACATTTCCCCCAAATATTCTCTCTGTTCTGCACAAGGTCAGGTGCTATTGGTGTCGACTGGCAACTACGCGGAGGAGAGCCTTTTCAGTAGTAGCTCCGACCCTTTGGAACGATCTCCCCGTGGAGATTCGTACCCTCACCACCCTCCAGACCTTCCGCACAGCCCTCAAGATCTGGCTATCCCGTCAGGCCTGGGGTTAAAGATTATAATCCATCCCCTCCCGAATGATGAATGAATGTTGCTTTTATTTTTAATTACGTACTGTTTTTATATGTCATTGTGTGTACTCCCTTCCCTATACGTTGTAAGCCGCCCTGAGTCCCCTCAGGGAAAAGGACGGCCTATAAATAAATTTATCTACATCTATATCTATCTACATCTACATCTTTGCTTCTTTCTTCTGTTCTTTTTCTATGCTTTTGCCACATGCTTTTTTCCCTGTGCCCCAAATCCCATTATTCTACAAGTTTCTCCATGGTGATATTTTTTTCTTAATTCTTCTTAAATTTAATTCTTCTTAAATTACTCTAACCTTACCTTTCTATAGTTTTATTTTTACCTGTAGCAATTTGTAAGTCCTGGATAACTTTATTCAATTTAATGAAGAGAGAGACCTCAAGCCAGGAACACATTTCTACATAATGTCTAGAACTATGATAAGTATGAACAATAATGACTATAAAAATAATATTAATAATTGATTACAAAGAATGGAAGTCCCCTCAACTTTCCAGACAGTACAATTACTCAGATTTGTAAATAAATTGACAGACCACGTATAAAAGAATTCTAAACACCAAAAGCAATTCATTTGTTCAAAATAAGAGGAGAAAGCTATTTCCTTCATGTTCTATTTGTCTTAGATGTCCTAATTTTGGTCATTGCAAGCAATAAAGATGGTATGATCCAACCAAAGATTTAGAAGTCCTGTATTGGTTGGTTTATTGCCACCATAACAGTTCCTACTAATTAGTCACTTAGATCTTCTCAAGTAATGATATGCACTCTACTGTAAATACAAACAAAATCACATACACGAGATAATAGCTAGGCTAGATTCACTGCAGAACCAACAGTCTCAAGTAAAATAACAATGTCAGCTGAAGATCATAGTTGAAATAACCTTGGGAAGATATTGGTTCTGTTATGTACTTTGGAATCATCTTTTTAAATGTTACTATCTGATTCCAACTTCTATTTTCTTTTCTTTCATTTATGCTTTGTTCATAATTTACTGGATGGTACATATAAGACAGGTAAGAGAGTTATACTGCTCTAAGGTTGGATCTCAGAGACCTGTGGTAAGCTAGAAACTGCTTACCTTTAAGTGGAATATATTGATGGATTGTCTGTATCTAATTTAATATGAAAAAGTCAACGGTAAAATGCAATTTTAGTAAATTAAAATGATGAAGTTATATATAGTATATTCAGATGTAAAGCATATGCTACAATATCTGTATTGCTACTTGGATGGGGAGACACAAGCTTAAAAATCAATCCTAGAAAAATGAAATGGCTATGGATTAGGAAACCATCCAAAATGTTCTATGGAAATTCAGTAAATAGTTTTGCATAGGTTTACTCCATTCCACATCGGTTCATTAATTTCTTTTGATTTTCAGTTCCTCTTAAAGAGGAAATGGAAGTAGTGTTAAGAAGGGCCTTTGCACAACTCCATATAGAGCCTTTCTTGGAATGAGAGACCCTGGTCATAGTCATTCCTGGGTTGGTCATTTTTGGTTGGAGTATTGTAACATATTCAACATGGGGGTATTCTTGAAGAGCATTTAAAAATCACAGCTGGTCCAGAATGCAACAACTTGAATAGTTATGGATGCATCTCCATTTGTCCATGTTTTCAGAGCTGCACTGGTTACCATTTTGCCGGTAGGTATAATTAAAAATCCTGGTTGTCACTTTTAAAACCCTTCACAACTCAAAATCTGGTTATCCTCATTATTGCCTTCCCCCAATTGGTCGATCTGATAATATAGCAATAGCAATAGCAATAGCAGTAGACTTATATACCGCTTCATAGGCCTTTCAGGCCTCTCTAAGCGGTTTACAGAGTCAGCATATTGCCCCCAACAATCTGGGTCCTCATTTTACCCACCTCGGAAGGATGGAAGGCTGAGTCAACCCTGAGCCGGTGAGATTTGAACCGCTGAACTGCAGATAACAGTCAGCTGAAGTGCTGCATTTAACCCCTGCGCCACCTTGGCTAATATCAGATAGAAAGGGTTCCCTCCAGGCTATTAACATCTGTATTTTCCAACAGGGCCTTGGGGATAGATCTCTTATACATCTTGTTCACTCTTCTAGTTGTTTTTATTAATGCTAGCCATAAATCCAAGAAAGGCAGGGAAATACTTATTTTATTATTAATGGGTTAGGTTCAGGCTTAGTCAAACTTAGTCAGCTTAGAAAAGATCAAATCAAATCAATACAATAGCTGTGATTTCAAGAAGGGATCCTCTTAGTATAGCTAAGACCAGATCCAAACTAGCAGTCAATGTGTGACTGCTTCAAAGTTGCTATTTTAGTTCTTTCAGTTCTTTTTCCTGAAATATTTTAATTAGAATTTATTTCTTGGTTTAGAAAAATCATAGAACCACCACACTACTAACAGAGTGATTTTCCTGTATTCTCAAAACGTGTTATATTTCAATCTAGCAATACTTAGCAGAAAGCGCAAGAGACGCTTAGATCAAATTAATATTGCAAGCTAATTAAAAAACCTTGACCTCAAAAAACTTGGTTTCAAGTAAAATTTGAGTCAGCACTTATAGTTTATAATAGATCCAGCTTTTAATATCTATCATACAGTAGCATGTTAGCTGTCTCACAGCAGCACATTCTAAATATAACTATGCATAAATCCAGCATTGGTTTGTCAACCAGATCTATTCTCTTAAACTACAAGGAGATATGCAGCATTGACAAATGAGAGCTCTGGAACACATTATCAGGCACGCCAATATCTAATTGTCAGATAGTAATGGGTGGAGAACCTAATAGGGAACAAACCAGAGTGGGGAGTGGGAGGATGTCATTCAGGATGTAGATAGACCTAATTATAGTAGCTGCTCCACAGACATGTTGTCTAGCAACCCAGGAGAGGTAAGGACATTTATGCTTGTTTCTTGATCAGTGCCTTTCTGGTCTATTCTGTTTATCTCCTCTGAAGATATTAGTCGTTAAGTCTCTTGTTCTGTATTTCTAAACTAGGTATTATATTATTATTCTCAGTAGGCTCAGAGACCTACTGCTAAGCCTTATAGCATTTCCAGGTAAGTCTTGAGAGGAGTTAATGAATTCAGTGCTTTTGTATAGAACTCCCATCCAAGCCAATTGGGCACAAACAAAAGGCATTCCCAGTACAGTAGATCAGATATGCCTGCCCCTCTTTACAGATATGTTTGCTGCTGGAGAACTGAAGTGCCATACAACTGAGAGCAAATGTTGTCTCTCTATCCCTCTAGGGATAAAAAGAGGGATCTAGGGAATTATAGACTAGTCAGTCTAACACTTGGAGAAATTCTAGAACAGATCATAAACATTATCTTGAAAACAATGAGGTGATTACCAGAAATCAGCATGGGTTTGTAAAGAATAATTCTTGCAAGATTAATTTTACGACTGAGTAGATTGCAGAGATACTGTAGACATAAGATATCTAGATTTCAGCAAAGAATTGGGCAGATTATTAATAACCTACTAAATAATTAGTTAATTAAGAGTGAAATGGATAGCATGACAATAAAGGGGCTTGACAATCAATCATTCTCAAACTGCGAGTCAGGGTTCCAAGCAATACATCCACTATTGACATTGTGCTCATCAGTGGTCCCTCATCTAAGAGAGATGGTGAGGTACCACAAGATTTAGTTCTTAACCCTCTCCTCCTGCAGTATTTTCATTAATGATGTGTATGAAGAGACAGAAAGAACGTTATCAAATTTTCAGACACAACAAAATTATATAGCTAATAGAAGATAGAGATAACATTCAAAACAAGCTTGATAGCTCAGAAAAATAAGCTGAAAGAAACAGAACTACAGTATATCTGTATAAGAGAGGTACCAGAATAGACTATGGGAAAGCTGCCTGGTAATTCTATTTGAAAAAAGATCTTTGACATAGCAACCAATTGCAAACTGAATATGAGCTAGTGATACGATTAGCTACCCAAAAAAAAAAAAAAACCCACCCACATCAACAAAAGTATAGTTTCCAAATCATGGGAAATAGTACAGGTAGTCCTCGACTTACAACTACAATTGAGCTCAAAATTTCTGTTCTTAAGTGAGATATTTGTTAAATGAGTTTTACTCTACTTTACAACCTTTCTTCCAAAGTTGTTAAGTGAATCACTGCAGTTGATAAATTAGTAACATGGTTAAGTGAATCCGGGTTCCCCATTCATTTTGCTTGTCAAAAGGTTGCAAAAGGTGATACATGACCTTGGGACAAAACAATGGTCATAAGTATGACCCAATTGTCAAGCATCTGAATTTTGATCACAGGATTATGAGGATGCTGCAAAAGTCATAAGTTTGAAAAATGGTCATTTCACTTTTTTCAGTGTCTTTGTAAATTTGAACAGTCATTAAATGAACTGCTGTAAATCAAGGATTACTTGTAATTCCACATTATTCTACTTTGGTCAGAACCCATCTTGAGTATTTTGTCAATTTCTGGGCACTGTACAACAAAGAGAGGTAATTTGCTATAGTGGTTAAAGGGATCAGATTAGAAATTTGGAGATTCTGAGTTCTAGTTCCTCCTTAGGCAAAAAACAAGCTGGGTGACTTTGGGCCAATTATTTCCTCTCATCCCAGGAAGAAGATAATGGAAAACCACGTCTGGAAGTCTTGTGGAGAAAACTGCAGCAATGTGCTCAGACATTTGCTGTGAGTCTGCACAGATTTAAAAGCGCACACACACTCTTTAAGAAGGACTTAGTCTTAGATGAACTGGAACAGGTACAGAGAAGGGCAACAAGGACAATCAAGGCAGTAGCAATGTCCTATAAAGGCAAATTTAAAGGAGCTGGAGATGTTTAGACTTGGGAAAAGATGAGTGAGGAGAGGGTGTGATAGCACACTCCTTGTGCACAGAATGAGATCAAGTCCTCCCTCACTGCAGAGTGACTTCCTTATAATCTGCAACCTTCTTTTCTAGTTCATCATTTTTATGCTTTTGGCACCCTCTGACCTAATTAGCTTAACATGATATGTAATGTTGACAATTTTATCTTTGGTCAGGAGACTGGACCAGATAGACTTTGATCTCACTAATTACACTCTGAAACTCAATCTAAATTGTTTTGCCCACTTGTCACAGATGTGACAGTGCAGTTTTGCTCTTGCTGGTGGAAGGCCTTTTCATTTGCAACAAATGGATTCCTATGCCTCTCGGGAAGTATTGTCACAAAGATCAAATCAATTCTGTGCAATTCAGACAGTTTTCACTGAGCTTGATTGAAGGGATATTGCCTCCTCTCTGAACACCACATTAAGGCAGGAAAGCAAGTTGCATCACGAACAAAGGAGGATTACTGCCTTCCATCTCAACATATATTATAGTATCATTTTATTTATTTATTTTATTTATATCCCACCTTTATTATTTGAACAACTTAGAATGACAAATATATCTAATACTCCTTCTTCCTTTTTGTATTTTCCTTACAATAACCCTTTGAGATGAGTTGGGCTGAAAAGTGACTGGCCCAGGGTTACCCAGCTGGCTCATATATCTGTCCATACTGTGCTTATTGTCTAAATTCATGCACAACAACCAAGTTTAGATTGTCACATAAGCCAAACTGAAGGTTTTTCTGCGGATTTGTATACTAACCATTTCCTTCACTAAACAGAACTATTACATCTACATTTTTCCAGCAATATACACAATTAGTTGCCCAGACCCATTAGTCTCAGACAGGATATAATGAACAAAGTTGGATGGCTTCAGCACAGCTGTTTTTATTTTACTCCAATTTATTGCAGAGGAAACTTTGCTCCATAATCTGACCCTACCTTTTATTTCAGTTAATGGCATTAAGGCCACTTCCCAACACTCAGGAATTTCTAGGGAGGTCTGCTTGAAATTAGATCTACCACCTTTGCTTTCTCCATTCCAGCTCACCCCAAGCCTGGGACTTGTGTCCACTGTCCTTTTCTCAATATAGATACTGGATCTAATTTATGGGATGTTTATACAAAACTAGGTGCTTCAGGTCTGTTTGTGTGAACAAGTTGCTAAATTCTCAGACATATTAGACATAAGTCTAAACCTAGTATTTTCCACTTTGCTTCATCAAGGTAACATTTTGGTTATCCAGGCAGAGAACGGAGGAAAGGCTAGCATGTGACTAATAGGAATTTGCACCATAAAGAAGGCTGATCAGTAAAATAATTGTATCAAACAGCATTCTTCTGCATTATCTGCATTATATTCTCCTGCCTTTATTGTACTACAATTAACCATTACTGACATGCTATGTATCCACCAACTCCAATTGCTCAGTTTCAGTTTCTGACTTCTGTTTTTCTTAATAATTTATTATGAAAACATGTGCTGCATTGGATACATGCACACACAATTTTCAAATAAAAGCCTTCACCACACAGCAACACCAAAAACCACGGCAACAGAAGTTCTGATAGGATGTGGATGGGAAGATCATTTTTCAGCAATGGCAGGAGTAGTAATTTCCAGAAAGTAGATGCTCTCCCCCACCCCTGTACCAAATTTCTTTCTAAATCTACATATAAATGTCATACAAATAGGACTTAATTAAGTTTACAACTTGTAGAAAATTGTAGCAATAAATAAGTTCATATTTATACTTAATCTAGAAGCATCCACTGCATTAGTCGAACTTGGAAAAAGATACTGACTGTAACATCTAGATTATTTTGATCTCAGTGATAGGGTCATGGCTGCAAACCACCTTGACATATAGACCAGAGGTATTCAGCAGGTTCTGACCAGTTCTGGAAATTTTGAGTAGTAATACCACCTCTGACTGGCCCTGCCCCCATCTATACTCTGCCTCCCGAGTCCCAGCTAATTGGGAGGGAATGGGGATTTTGCAGTAACCTTCCCCTGCCATGCCCACTAAGTCACGCCCACCAAGCCATGCCATGCCTACCAAGCCGGTAGTAAAAAAATTTGAATCCAACACTGACACAGACTCATTATCTGGAATACTACACATTTTGCTTTTTCTTTATTTTGGTCCATGGAATGGACTCTTTCAAATAATTTTTCTATACTAGATGATCAAATATTCTCTTACTCCACTGATACAACACCTATAAAATGATACATTTTTCATGATACATTTTTCAGGAGCAAATATCTCACAAATGCTCTGCCAGTCACCCTAAAATCATAAAACATGTGATACTAGCAATAAGTAACAAGTCAACATGTGGCCAACAGTGACATTTTCATTAAAAGCCAGACTTATTCTCATTATATAGATGTTGGGGTGTTTTTTTTCTGGGAAAGTAATCTGTATTCCCATATTTCTGAAAGTTAGGAAGAAAAGTAGCATAATGAAAAAGGTTCCATAGCCTACAACAGTCTGGTATATGATACTGTGAACAATGAACCTATATTATCCTAAGTTGCCATAGTTTGTTATGAATATAACTATGATATTATTTGGAAAATGCTCCCTTCAGAAAGCAATAACCTTGCATAGAGTCGAAGGCGGTGATGGTGAACCTTTTTAGGCTCGTGTGCCAAAAGTGGGGGGAGCGAAGGGGGGGGTTGTGTGTGGGCATGCCACACATGTGCATGCTTCTTCCCTCTGTGCACATATGCACATGACCAGCATTTTCCCCCCCGCAGACACATTTGGCACTCTTTTTTCGCCCTCCCAGGCTCCAGAGGCTTTCTAGGAGCATGGGGAGTCCAAAAACAACCCCCCACCCCGAAGGTCCTCCGGAGGCTTCAGGAGTTTCCCTGAAGCCTGTGGAGCGCGAAAAACTGGCTCTACGGGCAAAACGGAAGTTCAGGAATAACAGAAGTCACTTCCTGTTTGCTCGTGGGGGCATTTTTTGCCCTCTGGAGCTTTCAGGGAAGACTCCTAAAGGCTCTGGAGGGCAAAAAACGACCCTATGGCCAAACTGGAAGTGACTTCTGTTCATTCCTGAATTTCCAGTTTGCCTGTAGGGCTGGTTTTTCGCCTTTTGGAGGCTTCAGGCAAGACTCCTAAAGGCTCTGGAGGGCAAAAAACGACCCTATGGCCAAACTGGAAGTGACTTCTGTTCATTCCTGAATTTCCAGTTTGCCTGTAGGGCTGGTTTTTCGCCTTTTGGAGGCTTCAGGCAAGACTCCTAAAGGCTCTGGAGGGCAAAAAACGACCCTATGGCCAAACTGGAAGTGACTTCTGTTCATTCCTGAATTTCCAGTTTGCCTGTAGGGCTGGTTTTTCGCCTTTTGGAGGCTTCAGGCAAGCCTCTGAAGGGCGAAAAATGGCCTCAAAAAAAGGCTGAAGTCAGCTGGCCAGCGCATGCATGCGTGCTGGAGCTGACAGGGCAACACCTTGCATGCCCTGACAAATGGCTCTGTGTGCCACCTGTGGCATGCATGCCATAGGTTCGGCATCTCGGGTCTAAGGCATTTCTAAATTCCTATAGCCAGGATTTCTACTATATAATCCAATCAAACTTCCTTCAGTAACAATAATCCCTTCAGTCTTGGTAAATGCTGCACATGAGTTTTTCAGAAAATATCTTGTGTTATCACTGGATAGTGAAACATTATTGCTCAGATAAACAATAGAAAAAGCAGAAATTGCTTCTTTCCATCTACTTTTTTTCTGAAGCCCACTGGCTCAGCACTGAGTCTACATTCAGTCACTTCCCTACAAGCTGTTCCTTACAACAGCAGGTAAATGTGACCCACCTGCTGGCCTATAAAGCAGTGGCCCCCAAACTTTTGGGCACCATGGATTGGTCCTGTTAAGAAAGGTTTTTCCACGGACTGGAGGGAGTGTGGTTTTCTGTGCTGCCTGCATCCCATGGATGGGGGTTTGCTTGTTTGCACCAGTTGCTGGCATGCCACGGACCAGTGTTGGTCAATGGATCAGGGATTGGGAACCCCTGCTATAAACCATTAATTATTCAGGAAACTAAGCTGACTTCCAATGTGAACTTTCTTTAGAATACCATCTTACCTGAATATGAAGTACTCCAGGGGCTTGCTAGGGCTTTGTTGAATAGCCTGTTTTAATCTTCACGTGAAGTCTCTTTGCTCTATAGTCAGAATAAACACTATAAGAGAGGTGATAGCTGAATAACAAAGCTCAGCAGTCCCAGCTAGCAATACTAAAGAAGAAGGATGCTGAAAGTTATTATTCAACCTAATGACTGCCGATTATCTACACCAGTGTTTTCAGCTTTGGCAACTTTAATATATGTAGACTTCAACTCCCAAAATTTCTGGGAATTGGTTCACATGTCTTAAAGATGCCAAGGTTGATCTACACCTATGGTTTAGGTTCTGCTAAACTACAGGAGTATGTAATCTATTGTCACCTGCTGAATTTCTTTGGCTTTACTTAATTAGAAGGGCAACTCTTCCTTTTTTTTCATGCAAACGACTGAACAGAAAGAACAGAATGAGAATACATTTCAGAGTTCTCTGAAGACCCTGTCAACCCAAGCTTCTTATTATGATCATTGTTTTATAAACATTGAAAGAGGAAAAAGAGGGGGGGGAATACCTACTGTTGCCAGGTAACTGCATCCACTATGTGCCCTGCCACCTTCATGAACCTGTGAAATACAGAAAGCAGGTAAGTTTATGGGCATAAGAGAAAAGCATACATGTGTACACATGCACATGCATGTACACACACTTCCTACATATGCACATGTCCCTCTATCTTTGAAAAAATCCAAGAATGAGATAGTTCTTCTATCAAATACCCCAAATGATTACACTTTTGTGAGAGCCATGCTTCAAAATAAATGAGCCAAATGCAGTACGGAATAAATATTCATGCTTACTTCAGTTCTGAATACACTTTTTCGATGAAAGGAAAATCTAATTTAAATAAATTTAAGACAGCAATCCTGTCTCAATCAGTGCTATAGTACTTAAAAATCACAACCTCTTAAAACAGTTTTCTGAACATGGCTTCTTATGAATATTTTGGAATTGCAAGTCTTCAAATTCCCACCAAATATGGTTTAAAACAGGCACTATTTTTAGAGAAAGGCAAGGGAGACAACTCTGGCAGTTGGCTGGGAAATGTGTATCAGATTATAAAGTGGGCAAAAGCAATATGTGTAAATACTTAAGTATACATAAGTGTGTGACGCCATGGCTATCTAAAATATATGGAATGATTTGATTTCACAACTAGAACTGAAAGTGCCTTAGCATTTTCCGATCACAAAACTACATCTAATTTTGGAAGGAAAAAGATTCAATTTCAAAAGAAAAGATTTCCAATTCTTTCCCCAATGCTGCTGTGTGGATTAAACTGGCAGACCCTCCCAATTGTGTTCCATTTAAAAATTGTTGAGAAATCTGCAGAGATTTCCCAACAAAACCTGCCATTTATTACGCAATCGCAACATGTAGTTCATGGAATTTTATAGCGAGAACCAGATGTTATTGTCTTCTGTTTATAATCCACCAGTGTTTTTTTCACTATAAAGAATCCCTTAAGAAAGAAAAGATGGAGCAATTGCACAATGTGCACTGATGGATAGAATTACAAATAAGTCTGGAAGCACAGCTAATCATGGGGAATTCTTTCAATTAGTTTAGTCATGTAATACAATCTCAGTAACTGTGAATACTGAGAGTGAAAACGTAAGAAACATGCTATAGTGAGTTGCACTCATACTATGAGTCACAATGTTCCAGTTCCAATGGTGATTTTAACATGACTTGCTAACCACACACACATTTATTCATTCCAAATTTGAAATAAAATTGTTCTCCTGAATCAGCAATAGCATCGTATTGATACATTTATTCAGCACAAAAATATGAAGAGTACTAACCCTGCCTTATTTATGGCTTTGGCCTTGCTAACAGATAATTTAGATAGTAAATAATTTACTTTTGTGGCATGCCAGTCATTCACTATTAAATTCTAATTCATATTGATAATACTATGCTGTGTTCCATCAATGGATTTCTTCCTGCAGATTTTAAACGAATGGGTAGAGTACTAATCCCTGCACAGCAGGGGGGAAAGATTTCATATCTCCCCTCCTCAATCGGAACCACTCCCAAAATGAAGCAATTCAGGCAGAATATTAAGAGAAAATTCATTTTTCTTTTTTCTCATGGCAATGTATCTAGGAGGGGATTTGTGAAAGGTGGACTGAGGAGATTGCAATGATTTGGAAAGTTTGGTAGTTTCATGTTTTGGCGCAAAAAAAGAAGGGGTTTCCCAACTTTCAGTAGATCAACATAGTTTCTGCTGGTCTTATTTTTGAGATCTTTGAGTGAGTGGTCAAATGATAAGAGTTTTGTCCAAATATATCACAGAGTGGAATGGCTGGAATTGTCTTGTGGTTCTGGTGTTGGACATTGGAGTAGTAGCTGGATCAACGAAAAGCGGTAACAGAAGCAGCAGTGAAGGTAGAGGTGGACACAAAGCAGTAGTAGAATTGGAATTCCCATTCAGCTGTTAGAAAGTGCCATCACTCAGCTTTTTTGCAGCATGTCCGTCATAGTAGAGCTGTAGAAGATCTCTCCCTTCTTTGCTTTTTTCCAATATCTAATTAGAGTTCCAGGAGTTTCCACATATTTTCTTGTGCTCATTGGAACTTATTAGACCATATTATTATCATTGGATCATATTATAGATAGCGCCCCTTTCCAAAGAGTGATATTTTACTCTTTGGACAGTTCCCTAATAACAATCCATTTACAAAATTCAGAAGACTCTTTAAAAAAATAATAAAAGCAGTATTTGGAAGGGGAAAGCCATATCAAATAGTCAACTTGAACTAATTCTACCAGCACTGAATTATGAGTTCATTCACCTGAGTCTTGGTAATGCAATTTTATAGGAAAAATGAGTATACCAGTCCAAAAAAGAACACAATCTACCTTGCATATTTTGTATCATTTATTTTCTGGCAAACATACAGAAACAGTGGTACCTTCTAACCAAATTCTAAAATTGGGATAACCTATAGGCCAGATCCACCTGAAATCCTCCCCAATGAGATATAGGTAGCCCTTGAGTTACAACTATTTGTTCAGAGACTGTTTGAAGTTAAGGTGGTGCTAAACTAAGGAACTTATGACCAGTTCTTGATGTTACAGACATTGCAGTCCTCCTAAAGTCATGTGATCAAAATTCAGGTGCTTGATAACTCACCCACATTTCAGGACCACAGGAGCACTTCGACTCCTCCATTCACACATCTACTCCCCATCTATGCCCTCTGTGCACTCTTGCATTCTGTATGCCCTAACTGACCTTCACAGTCTTCTTGCTTCTGCTACTGATCAAACAGGCCAGGGCAGCTCCTGGCTACACAAGGATTTCTTTTTTGCAAGACCTGGGAAAGATGGTCTCACTTGGTCAGTAGCTGGGGAGATGAAGGCTGGACTGTGAAGCTTCCTGAGGCAGCTGTGGGTTTTGTGCCATATTGCTAGGGCAGCTGGGGCTTCCAGTAGTAACTGAGGCTTTTGGTTGTGCTGCAGCTCAGGGGTTTCTTCCACATAAAACGATGTAGCCAATTGATTTAGTTTCATTTGATTTATCTACAATTACATTTATAATCTTTGACACCCAAACATAAATATGCAATACTTTGTAAATCTTCATGTGCCGATTTCAGTTTTTAGTTTTAGTCAAGCACAGATAACCTCAAAACTGCAGACAAACTTAAGAAAAGTAGGGAAGTTAAACAGAGTTCTTAAATACTGGTCCTGAGACAAAATTTACCCAATCTCCACCAATAATTGAGATTATTTCAATTCTTAAAAGAGTTTTTAAGGATTATTCTCTATGTGCCAACAGCAATTCTGACCCTAGGGGAAAAAAGGCCAGTAACAAGAAGTCAGCCTAAGACTGTTCAAGATATGGTTTAATCATAGAGTATTGAGAAGGTTTTATAACCAATTAGAACCTTCAAAGCCTTGTTTATAATTAAGAAGATGTGGTATATATACATCAGTGCTGCATGAGCTGCATTGGTTATCTATTTGTTTCCAACACCAATTTAATCTTGAAAGCTTTTCATGGCATGGAACCAGGTTATTTGAGAAGTGGTGTCTATCTAATTTCATCTGCCTGTTCCCCAAGATCCAAACGAGTGGTCATTTTATGGATTTTGTTGTCTAAGAAGCTCCATCTGGTGGGCCTTAGGTGGCAGTTCATTTTGCTATGATTCACCTGCATTGTAGAATCTTCTTCCATCTGACGTGAGAATGGCCTCATTGCTTCTAAGGTTCTGAAGATCCCTCAAGACCTGGTTATTCCCCAGGGAATGGATGAATTAATTAAGCAGCTTTATATTATTAACATCCCCCCTTCTATGTATTTCCTTGTTCCAAAATTTATTCCTATTTTTTTAAAATTGTTAATGATAACTTTTTATGTTTTTATTGTTTTAATCTTGTATGCTGCATAGAGTCATTTGCTTTATGGGATGAGTGGCTCATTTAGATAAATAAACAAAAAATAAATAAAATTTATTTAAAATTTAAAATTTTGTTTAAAATTCTTCAAATTTTTATCTTGTTCTTCTTGCTTTTGCATGATCCATGTGTAAAATGATTTTTATAGTTAAGATGTATGATATCTATGATATTGGCCAGATATACTTGAAGAATTCCCTGCCAAAAGTCTGCTACATTGGTTATACCTGTTGTCATTTTCATAAATCTATGCCAGCTACTAGCAATTACCCTGTTTTCCCACAGGTGCTTAAAAAGATTGATTTATTGTTCATTCTAATAACTTCCAGGGTATAAAAGTCAAACTAACTACTCTATAACTCCTCAACTTCTCCTTTTTAAATATAGATGTCACACATTTGTTCTTTTCCAGTCTTTTGAGTTTTTTCCCCTTCTTCTGCAAGAATCAGAAGTAATTGCTTGGGCTACAAGATATTTCTCCAGCATTTGATAGTTATTCTTTGATGTGTGCTTTTCTTTCCTGATCCACATCTGTTTTCCTTCCGTGTTTGTCATATATCAACATTCTACAGCATACAATATATAAAAAATGGGCTCTGAATTAGCGAATGGTCGGAGAACTGTCTCAGAACATATCTGAATATCTGCGATGTCAGTCAGATCTTGGGAAAGAAATTTATGGCAATCTCTAATATCAATGATAATACTTGCAATATGTTAAAAAAAACAGCAATGTTTATATAGTACAATGTTTGTTCATATGAAGGACAGGTAGAGTCAATTTTATGTAACAAGAAGAAAAAAAGAGTGAATCTCACACCTTACAGGAATAATAAACATGCACAAATGACAGCGTTCATCTACTGTTTTCTATTAAATTTAACTGCTCATGAAAATAACTTTCCTAGAAAAATACTTCATAGTTTTAGAGCATGTATTTTAGGCAGGTTTAACAGTAGCACATTTTTATCTCTAACTCTCTATCAGATTTATATCATGCTGCTCTTTTGGTTGTCCACAATAACACACAAAATATAATAATATTCAAAAGTACACATTGTAATTACAGTAAAATAAAGTAAAAAAAAATCTGACTGTGGAGAGATGCAGTCCTGCAAATAATTTGGTACTAAACCATAATGCAGGTTAACTGAGG